TAAGTAACACCAACAAATACACTGCGTCCCATAATTATAACTCCACCCAAGAATTTCCCAAAATCTCACAAATTTAGATGTTTTAGAAAAAGACTCCAATGTGGCAGTGTGATAAATACAGGTACGAAATCGCCTGTAAACATCAACTTCCAACTTGAGATCCCAGGAAATTTTTCTAATAATTTTTGTTCAAGAAGGCCACTTGGCCGACGTCCCAAAATTATTAACCACCTCATGTTTTTCAATTATTTTTCGCTTCCGTTTCGCCAATCTTTTTCGATGTGCTGACATCCTACTTTTCAAGGGGACAGTATGATAGAAAATGCTGTCAGACTTTTTAAGAGGTCAGGTCGTCGCACAAACCAATTAGGCAATCGCACAAGATTTTGACCAAATTTACGAGGAGCTCGAGAATTTTTCAGGGATTTTACATGATATGGAGTTGAGAAGAGCTCCAAAGGATCTCCCCTTGCTTTTCGGTAGAAACAAAGGCCGTGTCACAGAAGAAACATCCTTTTTTACGAAGCCGTGCTCTGCCATCAAATCTTCTTCGGAACTTAATGGCTCAACGGAACAATGTTTTTTGCTTGCGAATAAGTCCTAAGTTGATTCTCGAGTGGAAAACGTGGAAGGCATCATCTGTGGTAAGAAACCATGGCGGAATTCTTGCTGAGTTTTCCGGGAAAGGTGCATCCGAGCCGACTGTAGTGAGGTTCGCTCTTACTTGCTATTTATTACTGGTTGTCTCTTCTTTCTCTTCGGCATTTTGCATTTTCTTTCTCCTGGTAGTGCTTCGCGAAGAGAAAAGCTACTAAGGATGAGAAAAGCACGAAAAGAAAAACAAACAAATGCTAAAACATATCGAGCAAAAGCGAACCTTACTCCAGTCGGCTCCGTTGCATCTTTCTGTGAAAATGGGCTCAATTTTCGCCATGGTTTCCTGCCACAGATGATGCCTTCCACGTTTTCCACTCGGGAATCAACTTGGGATTTATTCGCAAGCAAAAACATTGTTCCGTCGAAACATTAAGTCGCGAAGAAGTGTTTGGTGGCAGCGCTCGCGGCGTTGTTGCCAAAGAGGATTTTCTGTCTGTGACTACGGCCGTGGCGTTATCCGAAGCAAGGAGATTATCTCGGAGCTCTTTCTCAACTCCATATCTCATATTGATTCAGGAAAAATCTCGGGAAGCTCCCGTAAACGTTGGTCAAACTCTTGCGCGAGTTGCCTTAGCTTAGTCAGTTTGTGCAATGGACCGACCAGACCTCTTATGAAAGTCTGACAGCATGTTCTTATCATACTGTCCGCCTGCAAGTAGAGGTTGCACATCATAATGAAAGTGCGAAATCGAATGAAAAACCAAGGAAAAAGCCAATTAGGTGGTAGTTATAGATTTTGCGATGAGCGTGCCAAGTAAGCCTTCGAACAGAAAATTATTCGAAGTTGGAAGTTGATGTTTACAGGCGATTTCGTATTTGTATTTGACACACTGCCACATTGGAGACTTTTTCTAAAACATCTAAATTTGTGAGATTTTGGGAAATTCTTGGGTGGAGTTATAATTATGGGACGCAGTGTATATTACGTACCCTAGTGTCCATGTTTAATAGTCATGCGTTGCGGCACGTCCGTCCATGGGTTTTTGATCGTCCCTGATAGATAGAATGGAAATAATGGCTCCATTTCCTAATCGTCTTATGGTTAGAGGTGAAAAGATAGGATTCAATGATATGAATAAGCGTCACATTGTAGAAGTTTTATGTGACGCTGATCTGTTGGGAAAAAACATAGCGCTTTCAAGGAACCGGTCGAGTTCTGCGATCAACACTTAACCGGTCACGCTCGTAAAAACCCTACCGTGTTCTTCGAAAACCACCGACAACATCATTTGGTCGGTGCTTACCTCTGATACTTTTGTATATGATAATTCGGCAACTACGATACTTCAAAAAGGATCGCAGAGTTGCTGATCATTCAAGACGTTCAAATCCGTATCGTAACTTACCATGATGAATCACATCATCAATGTGTAGTTACTGTATTATGTATCGTTACTACATATGTCTATGTCTATGTCTCTACAGTTTTCACACATCTCTTTCCCCAGTTTGATGACAAGCTTCAAGTTAACATAGATGTGGAAGAGCGTTTACTAATGAAGCTGGAGGTGGGGAGTGGTCTGAAAAAGAAGAAAAAGCAAAAAAGCCCACGATTACGCCCTAAATAAGGATAATTGATGTTCATTCCACCTTGGGATAGAGAAGAGGCGTGTTGGACGAGTTTCACGAGCCTACTCCAGTTGCTCCAGTGCCAAAAGCACTGAAACGCAACTGCGAACGCGCTTTTTCAAGCTGCATCTGTGGCAACTGACAGCAGTAGGCGGGGCTAGCGGTTGAGGGAGTGGATTGCGAGCCGAGCGAGTTTCCAGCGCTTTTGTCGGGCCCGCAAAGGGGCGCGACATCAACGCATGTCCGCCTGCCTACTACGCTCGAGTATTTGGAGTATCCGAGCATGCCTTTAATGCGATTCAGCTTATGCAGTGAGTTTCCAAGCCGGTTTGAAGTCCGGATTTTGAACACTGTGGACTAATGATGTATCAACTAACCAAACCGTAGGAAGTGGTGAGCTTAGGTGGCCTTGGTGCACCTCTCGGGTTCTGAGTTCTGAACGATGCGTGCCGTGACCAATTGCCGCTGTATCAGCTCAGCTGTGCCTATGACACTGCCTCTTGGCGTAAGATGAGCGGTTTTACGCCATGACCAACATTTCGATACTGAGGTAACTGACAAAATGCCTGCTTTCGAAGCAAAGGAACGCCACCATGAAGAACGCCTTTGATAATCCATCTCCGTATTCGTCTAAATTCCGAAGAAAAGATAAGAAAAGAGACGAGGGCCCTGGTAGCGTTATGAGATGGCACAACACCAGGTAGGCATGCGGGTTCGAGTCCGTCCAACCCCGGTATCCTTGTGACACGAATTTTTTTTCACTTTGCAGCAATGTACACAGGACGCCTATGAATTTGGTAAGATAGCAATCAACGGCCCAATGAACCCAATGAACGCTTAACTTGTGAAAGTTTGCGCTTTTTCTGTGCGAAAACGCGTTTATCAGGCATGTCATCTTTCTCGAATACGTCTTTTTCTCGAAACATTGCTGGTAGGGAGCATAATCGATTAGATTGTAACATAAATCATACGTACTGTATTCTCACCTCAGAGAAGTGGGGTCATCATAAAAATTTTTTCTCTGGCTCTAAATTTGATGCCACTGTCGTATCAAGAGTTCTATTGCAATCGCTTCGGTTCTGTTTGTTTTGTTTTCTGAAGAGCTTGCGCTATCATTGCTGTTAGAGAGCTCAATTGAAGATTTTCAGATCTCTAGTCCTTAAAGGCACGGCTAGGCAACGGTCGTATTAACGCTTCCCTTTGGTCTATAGCATAGACCCCTAGAAGACAACCCCAAATGTGGCGTTCCCGTCCGCGGAAACCAACCCGCGGGGTCTTTCAATGCAAGTGAAGCTGCTGAAGCTGCAAACTTTTTCTCTCTTATCAGGCTGTTGTCTGGCGCTCTCTCATCTGTAGCGCTCTCTCGCCTCATACTCTCCTCTCCGCGCTTAGTCTCTCATTCCCTTAGCACAGCCGATTAGGAAGGTGAGTGAGCCCTTAACCTGAGCGTTTTTCGACGGATTCTTTTCCTTCACTGCCGGCCCACTTCGCACCAATACATTCGCATTCGTGTGCAAAAGCCACACTAATGTGATCCTGGGGCATGCCTTTAACAGCTTGGGAACACGGTTAGCTCAGTTCACAGCGCTGAAAGAGAGCTTTCACCTTCCCAGCCAAGGTCGGCCGTCTGTGGCAACGTTTCCAAGAATATTCTGGAGTCGGCTAAGGGGTCTTGACCCTCACCACCGTAGTTCTTTCCAGTGGGCCATTCTGGAAGCATACTTTTACAGCACTCAACACTCAAGTCCGAATATTAATGCACGCATTGTAATCTTCTTATCTACTCGCAAAAATTTGATTCGTACCTTAAACTTTGGTGTTTTTTGCAAACTTTGGTGTTTTTTGCCACTAAGAACATATTCGTCACGTCTGCTCATCAATTTGAGCTGATTTGTAAGCTGATGATTGGACCGAACCAAGAAATCGAAGGCCAAGGCGGAGTTCACAAGAGGCATCCCCAATTAGAAATTAAGGTAGGGGTGATCACTGATCCAGGGCAGAAGAAAAATCAAAAGAAATGGCCCTGAACCCGAGAAATGGGACCTTCCTTGCCCGTTGATTTGCGCATTGATGCGACTCTCATCGGTGCTGCCCTCTTCAACGCTAACGCTCTCTCTGCTAAACGGCTAGAGACTCAGACACGAGACGACGCGAGAGGAGGGGGCGTACCCCGCTATGAGCGCGTCAATGGCATCTTGGGGAAGGCCCCTGGAAACCTGCGGAGAGTGGTTAGTCATTCGATGGGAGTACCGTGCCGATGACGAGGCGGGCATGACCCTGCTAGGCCTCGTGGAGCATACTGCTACGAAGCGCGCACCGCCCCGCGTCCACAGGGGGCCCGCCTACCTTTTGACAATGAATTCCCAAGCATGTAGTCTTGTGGTCCTTTAGTCTTCAGGGTTCTGAAACATCATAGGCAGCCTCCATTTGAGCCTCAAATTTTTAAAAGGGAAGAACTGCAAAAAAGCTGTTCAGGCTCATACTTTTGATCCATTCTGCATCTTTCACTTCAGCACTTCTTTTTTCTTCGCTTTTTAGGTCAGCAATTTATCAAAAACGCGTCCTAAGAAACCGGATTCTGGTGTTAATCGATCACCGTGTAGGTAAAGAAGTTGTTAGTGAACGATGAACGGGCATTCACTTACCTCCAAACTGTTCTCATATACTAGCTCATGAATTTTCACGCTTCAACTGTGTAACTTCTATCCTTATTTGTTTTTTAAATATTATACTTCAAGCGGTTTTCAGGATTCTAGGGATATGATACCTGAAGTACGGCTTCAGTCACCCTTCCGAGTGTTTGAGCAGCGGTTTCTAGAGCATCGCTGCTGCGATGACAAAGATTTCAAAAGAGAGGTTTGGAATTTTTCAAGTGACTTGTTCAATTTCTACATGTTTTCATAATACTGGAAATAAGTGAGTGCTGAGTAGGTGTAAGAAAATCAATAATCCTTAGCAGACAATTTCAGATTATCATTGCATTTCTTCCTTATATAATCATCTCTATGTTATCGATTTTGTACGTGATGGGTGGAGCCGCGGCATTTTCTCTCATTGACGATTCAATTGCTAAAATTGATTATGCTAGCAGATGTTTCTTCGTATTCTCTACTCTCACTACTATTGGTTTGTGAGATTTTTTTTTTGACTAAAAGAAATCCAGGGATGGCTCATAAGCCTCACGAAAACGCCTTTAACACCTTGGAGCCCACGCAGCCCATATGTGGGCTGCAGTCCTCCGACCGCATAGGACCTTTCAGCTCGCATTTCGTAAACAATTATTAGGTTTTTCATTCATTTTCTTTTCCATTTTATCCGATAAGATTTCTTCTGCATTATACAGTGGGTTCTTCTTTTGAATTTGCTAGATAAGATCCCTAAAAATTTCACCGAAGTCCCGCGCGGCCGCGGAACGTAAAACACGCGCGGTCTCCAAAGTGTTAATAGACTTCTGATGGTGAATACTAATTGATTATATCTGCCAGTTAATCTAATAGCTACCATCTGGAGAAAAGATGAACCTGAATTCCTCGAAATAGACCCCTTTTTCCCCATTCACTCTCATGCTCGACTTCTACAATGGATGACGTGATCGACTGACCGTCGTTTATCCTAAAACATTCTTCAGTCGTAAGATTCCAACTCCTCACCCATCCAGTCACAGCTGAGTCGTCATCTTGAAGGCGGCCTCTCTTAGACGAGGGCGATCACCGCTGGTAGCTCCTATGCAGCAAGTTAAGGCAGTAGACACATTTCCGGGTCTATTCTCTTGGCGGGGCTCGACGATGCCAGCTTCTCCTGAGAGCTATGGCGTAACTCTGGCCAGGGGGGAGTACCCCAAATTTCAGGGGGTTGAGGAGCGTGAGGATGGCGTGAAAGCTGGATCTTCGCAGTTCACACTAGTGCTCTTCGAGAGGCTGCCTCATGATGCACCCACCCCCCTAACTGAAATAGACCCGATGTTCCTTCTCCTGCATACATCTTGTCCTCCTCTGCTCTCGAAATGGCGCGGATTGCCCCTTGTTGTTATGCGGGGGCGGGGGGGGGGTTCGGGGGGATGCCGTCGCACTATCTTAGTTTCGAATCATAGTGACATTGGAATACTGTCAGATGTCGCTACATGTCAGTTGTTCCCAGCGGCACTCGTTATCGACGTATGTATCCTCCATAGCAAGAGAGCAATCGACGCTTGGAGAGACTTTTCAAGCCTGGCGGTTGATTCGGCGAGTTGCCACTGACAGATACGGTTGGCCTTGTAATCCTTAGTCCAATCTGCGCCAGGATGAATAAATGGTCGCCCGAACATCGCTCAGCCACTGCTCTGTAATGTGTGAGAAAGCATCGAGAGTGAATGATCACGCCGAAGGGAATATCCGCGCGGGAGAACGTGACTGAATAGGTGATAGTCCTCGACGAGTCGTCGACGAATCCTCCACCGATTTTCACCCTGACCAGCGCTCTGTTTGAATAGAGCCATGCATAACACGTTGATCTTCTTACTGATCGTGAGTGGAATTTAAGGAAATTATATTTTTAGGATATGGTAATGTAAGTCCTGGAAATTCGCTCAGTAAAATTTTCTGTATGTTCTACGTGAGTGTGGGCATTCCACTGCTACTGCTGGCACTCACAAACATTGGCCATCTTTTCGCTGAAATCTATTGGACGCTCACACTGAGTGTCTTCAGTGATCTGGTTAGCCTTTTTACACCTTATCAAATATTTAAATAACTATCAGCTCGCCATACCTGCCCGCGGAAGTGGGTGTAGTGACAAGTGGCGCGCTTACCACGCGAGCGGTCCGGGATCAAATCCTGGTCGTGAGTCGCCCGGGCCAACCAAGCCTTCCATCCCTCCGGGGTCGGTTAATTGGTACCAGACTTGTCTGGGAGGATAAAAACACTGACTTGTACATCGGCTGGCCCCCGCAAGTCATTGTATAGGCCACATCGCATTCAAACGCCACTACGAATGTACAAATGGAAGTAGAATGCGTGCCGCATCCCAAAAAGGGATGATCAACGGCGAATGCTTTTCTTATCTTCGCTGTCGCTACCTCCTGATACTTGCTTAGCTCTGTTAGCCGTTACAAAAACAACAGACTACTGCGAACTATTAACTCTACTCGTCCCTATCCTTATCCACCTTTTCCGCTGCCCTAGTGCACCACTTGGGGCCCTGATAATTGCTTAGCTCTGTTAGCTGTTTCACGCCTAACGCCTAACGACTACCGCCAACTATTTATTAACTCTACCTCGTCCTTATCCTATTTAATATTCATTTGATTTCCTTATTCAACAACTTCCTTGTTTTTGAAATGTCATATCTACCTTTTTCCCAGCCTCGTGCTGTAAACTTAGGGCCGTGAATTTTGGATTTTGGCCCCACCTACTGTTAGCATTCAGCTGCTTTCACGTCGCTCTCGCTGCTGTTTTGCTTTCTCTAGGCTTTCTCGGAAAGAGTTTATGAGCCTTTGTAGCAATCATCGCTCTTTCAGGGGCCCGTTTCGTTAGCTATACACGAGCCTCTGCTATCTTAGGTGTTTTAGGTTTTTCGAACCGTAGACGTTGAGCCTTCCAACTATTTTCTCTGCTCTCTAGAGCAGTTGGGAATTCCAGAGCGAGCATTTCTTACTTTCCTTATTCAACAACTTCCTTGTTTTTGAATTGCTGCTATTTCTTCTTCGTAAACATTCATTTTTCAGAGCGTAGACCCGGAATCACGGCGTAAAGTTCCCGTACCGATTATTACTGTGTTCCTACTCCTTCATGCAATCGTCGGCGGTTTTCTCTTCTGCTACTGGATTAGACGAGCTGCCATTCCTAGCTTCTGTTTACTTCAGGTAATATCTCAAATAATTAATCTCCTCAAACAAGTCATGAGGCTCCTAAACAGCCATGGTGGTGAAGATGGTTATGAAGTAGCGGTGATGGTGGGGGAGGGACGAGGGAAGGGGGGGGGGAAGGGGGGTCTTGTCGTGGGGAGGCCCTTAACTTGACAACGATAGGAGAAGAGTCAAGAATTTTTCTATCGGCACGGACGGGCGGTTGACCTGTCTATAACTCCTTATGTACTCTATTGCTATTAAAAGACTTATCCTTAAAATGATTATCGATTCAGCTTCGTTTCAATTACTACGATCGGTTTCGGTGACATCGTAGTAACACCAACAAGCGACTTCCATACGATTGTATTGATTATTTATCTCGTATTCGGAATTATTACAATGTCAATGTTTGTCAATTCAATGGTCCAGCATGCGGAATGGGTTCATTACATGGGCAGGTAAGAAACAGTGAAGCATGATAACGAGGAAAGATATTTATGATATTCACCTTCTTTATTTTTATTTGTAGGAGAAAGATAGCTCTTCGTAAGAAGACCGTCTGGTTCGGAGCGGACTCTTTGACTGTACAGCAACTCGTTCAATTGGTTGCTAAGAATCTTGATGTAGGTTAAGGACGTGAGAATCTATCGTGTGAATTTTGTAAAATTAAGAAAATGTAATTTTTAACTATATGTTATGCACAACATAAACGACGCCCGAGAAAAACCTATCCGAACAGAAAAGCTCAATGGACACACTCCACGCTATCTGCTGTCTCTTATAATCGTACACTCATTCAGCATCCTTACGGTTACCGTTCCCTGCTGTTTACTCACAAGTAAGAAGGTTCCAGTTGCTAGGGTACCAGAGCTTGCTTTATTTTTCCTTTTCC